ATTAAGTCCCCAAAGTTTCAGCCCTGTAGCTTTTGTAGGTCTCGAGATGAAAAATCGGTATAGAGGCCCTGTGCACACACAGACAACCTCTCCTCAACATGCATTTTTCGCATTGCACAGCTGCAAAAAACGCATAAAAAGTGCGGCTCTAAAGCTAAAACTAAAAAAAACTCTCTTCCACATCTCCCGTCGTCCTCCGAGGAGCGACACTTTTCCTCTTTCCCCCAGTTGTAGCCGCAGCAGAAGCCCAATTCCCTTCCCCCACCCCTATCGCTCGTCGTCGCTCCAGGGGCCCCATACCTCCCTCCCCTAGCAGTCTGTACCCTGGGTTTGCCTATAACCAGAAAAATCACACAAAAAGCACTATCAGGATTTCCCCGGAAAGCGTAGGTTTAGGAAGGATAGAAGGAGGGAAGAGGTGAGAAAGGAGAAGGAAAGAAGCATGGTTAGCTATTTTCCTAAAATTGCCATATTTTCACAAACTTATAAATAACTTTGATTTTCTTAATCTCTTTCTTTTCCAACGGAAAACAAACCTCTCGCGTGGAGCGTTTCAGTACATAGTGATTCATGTCGTACGTGATTTCCACTCCCCGCATATAGAGGAACTCTTCGAGCACAATCAACAAGCAAAAGAGCAGTATTGCCAGTGACATGAATAAATGATATCTCTTGGACAATGTCGCATTTTGCTTATAGCTTAAAAAGCCTCACTGTGAAAACCTTTCTTATGCACCAAGGAGCATTACTGGAATTGCTCCGGATGTAGACGCTTCATGATACTCAAGTTATCACTTGAAGCTACATGCTTTTATACTACATTTGATTGTGTAGATTGTTTGTTGTCTTTACTGATCCACGTTTAGATTGTGTACAGCATTTGTCTGATAGGACTGTCCGCCTTCTTGATTCCCGGAATATGGTATTTCAACGCGGCAACCAAACAAGCTCCGGCGCCAAAATTTTGTCGTTGGGTTCCTCGGCAAAGTGCCACCCCAAAGCCGCGATGTCAACTCTCACGCATGCTTACACCACGCATATGATCATTTGGAAGTTTCGGCGGGAAAATTACTAACTCAAGAGCCAAGAAAGCTAGAAAACCAAAATTTTGTGGTTATGTTCCCCACCCACACAGAACTCATAAATTTCAAATTCAGCACCCAAGGATGCATAGTTTTCATGTACGTTTTCGTAAAGTTTCTTGGCGGGAAAATCGATGACTCACAAACCACGAAAACTGAATGGCTGAAGTTTTAAGGGAATGTGCTCAGCCCATGTATAACTTAAATATTTCAAATTCAGCCCCTCGATGTGCGTGGCTCTCACTTTTAAGATAATGTTCCCTAACCAAGCACAATCCAGTTGCACAGTTAATTTCCTGAACTATGAGGATCAGTGTACCAAAAAATTTTAGCTACTGAAGCTCTAAGCAATCTTACAACAGCACGAAATACTGCAAAAATGCATGATCGCACCGGTCCACCGGTGCGCGTCGCCAGTGATTGCGACGCCACGGTAAAGCTGGAAAGAACGGGATAAAAAAGAAAGTGGAAAGACAGGGCTGCCAAAGTAAATAAAATGTTTCGGATCATTAAGTGGTTAGCGGGTCTAGCTCAACGTCGCAACTGGGTCTCGTCAGCATTATGGTTATGAATGCAAACTTCGAGGGAGGTGGACAAAGGAAGAAATGTGAGAGAAAGTCTTACCCACATATCACAAAATAGCGATACAAAAACCCAATTGTAAGAACAAAATTTGTGGAAAAATCGAATGCATCCTTCGAAAAAAACACAAAATAGAACATAATTGCAGGATAAAATGAGTCAAGGCCTGTGGTTACAGCGGTCCGTACAGGAGCATTCACATATTTCTGAAAGTAGACTTTAGTTTACAATTTTCTGAATTCAAGAAAGATAATCAGTTGCAAAGCTAACTGTTAGTTTACGAAACGAGAAAGTAAGCAAAAAAAGAGATTGGTAATTAAAGAAAAATTTTTGTACACTAAAAAACCTACATATGGCACAAGAAGCGTGGCGAAACTGGAGCTGAACTGAAGTGCTGCTGCAATCTGAATAATCCAGCGATATGGTCCAAGCAATTTTCGAGAACTCTTGCAGTGCAATAATACAATAACTGCCATGTTGGCAATCATCGAAAAACAGTTTGCAATGCCATAATTCACATCTATTAGTTTAGCCAGCATTGCTGCTACGCTGATGAATTTAATTTGAAGCTAAAAAAACTTTTGATTTTTTAGTAAAGATGATTATTTCATCACTGCGTTCCTTTTCGCCACTGATGCAGCTGACAACTGTTCCATTCTTCTCCATTTTAAGCCTCTCTCATCCAGCCAATTAGATGTTGAGTGAAACATCAGAATTAGTGGGGACATTTTACCAAGGCCGCTCGGGCTATCGGTGTGGATATCTCCCGCTGGTTATGTTCCCACATACCAAGCGCAGCTATGTCAAGTCTTTCGATCTTGGGTTGCATACTTCCAGTTTGTACCTACCAAAAATATGTATATACCAGTTCTTCAGGAGTTGTCCGAGTGGTCGTTTACTTGCTTGTGGGTACCAACCACTAGTGCGCGTAAGGTTAATTTATACAGACTTAACTTTGATCAGCTTCTGACACATTCTGGTGCGTCTTTGTCCCATCAAAGAAGCTGTCACGTATTATTGCTGTTAGCCAGGGTATTTGCAAGTTAATCAGTGTCCTGGTAGTCCTAATCTGTACCTACGAAAGAATCGTTTTCTTTAGGGACGATACTGTAGACATTAACTTCACTGATAATTTTTTCAGCTGAAATCTGTTATACCAAGTACAAACGCTTGTTGGCAAGGCTGCAGAAGGCTCCTCTTTCTCGAAGGCTGTTTACAAGCAACTGTTGGTGGTTTTAACTATCTGGCTTAGTCAGTACCAATTTACCATCGGAACGAATGAACAAATCGTACAAGGACTGGTGTCTCGCCAATGGAGTGGGACTTCGACCCATTCTGCATAACATCCATGACACTTCCTACTCCGCCACATCCGTCGATCTCTTATAGGAATGGGTAAATACAAAATAATGAAAATACTAGACAAATAAAAGCCTA